GTAACTAAATTTATTTTAAATACTTGACCTGGGTTAAATTCAAACCAAAACCAAAAATGTGCTGGCCCATTTTTAAAAATTATTTTTTCTACCCCAAACCCAAAAATAGTTAGGCATGCCTTTTTGTCATTTCCCACTGCTTATGAATGATTTCCTTTTAGACCATAATTCTATGAATACTATATCATTTTGAGAGTACTAGATTTGTGGAGGCATCTCATTCTAAACATTCTGGCTCATGAAGATTTAAGGGCTCATTTGCTATCCTTGAATGGATTATTAAAATCTAAGTACCTAGATATCAAAACCAACAACCTGCTTTCTGCGCCCCTTTAATTTTCTGGCATCTGTGGATTTCTATTTACTAGGAGCTCTTTATGTAAATAATGTTCCCAAATGTTCCTCTGGTTTCTAGGATTTGCAAAAGATTATCTGTGGCAGAAATCTCCAACTTTTTTCATGCCTACCTACACTGAGAAAATAATACTAATTCATACAGAGAAGATGGTATTGAATAGAATGTTAGGGTAACGGGGGAACATTTCTTAGATAACCATACAAAGTTTAGCCAAAAAATTAACATATAATCTAAAATAAAACATATATTATAAAGAGGAAATCAAATGTTAAATTTATTTTTTAAATCTTCAATTTTTTTAAATCTTCAAATTTTTATTTTTATTTTATTTTAATTTAATATTTTATTTTATATTTATGATAGTCACAGAGAGAGAGAGAGAGAGAGAGAGAGAGAGAGAGGCAGAGACATAGGCAGAGGGAGAAGCAGGCTCCATGCACCGGGAACCCGATGTGGGATTCGATCCCGGGTCTCCAGGATCGTGCCCTGGGCCAAAGGTAGGCACTAAACCTCTGCACCACCCAGGAATCCCTAAGTCTTCAAATTTTTAATTGAAACTCTTCAGTTTGTATCTGGGAACATATCACTTTTATATGAGATTTTATTTCTGCACTGGATACGTGCAATCCCTAATCAAGACTTCAGTGACAACCTCTTCAAAAATCTTAATAGTCACCATCAATGAGAAACTGTTCATACAATAGTGATAAAAAATTTTAAACTGTTCAAATATTTAAACTGTATGAAATTATATTTAAGTCATTGATCAGCGCTCCCTTTCCTTTCACTCATAATTGCAATGTTGAAATTTCATGTGAAAATCAAATGACTTTCAAATCTATTCAAACTTTTAATAAAATATTTTTAGATAATGAAATATTTTAGAATTGCGATGACCCTCTAATTTGCAAAATACACATGCCTATTTGGAATAGTCCCTGGGAGTAGCTTGGACAACCTTAATGGGAAACTTACTCATGATTAGACAAAAGTATCAAATATATGCAAAGCCAGAGAATCAAGTCCACTGCCTATACAGCATACAAACTATTCATTCTATACCCAGCCATCCTGGATCCTCCATGGCTTACACAAGAATGAAGGTTGCACTCCTCCATAGCACCATGAACCACTTGGACAGAATGGACAGAGCTCCAGGCTTCACATATGGCAGCTTGAAAGCTATAATCCACCCTCAGGCTACCAGTGTGCTAGAGGCCACTAATTTACAAAGCTCTGATTTAGAGTACCACCATATTGCTAAAACAAGAAGTCTTGATTAAAAATTTAAATCCGGGATCCCTGGGTGGCGCAGCGGTTTGGCGCCTGCCTTTGGCCCAGGGCGCGATCCTGGAGACCCGGGATCGAATCCCACGTTGGGCTCCCGGTGCATGGAGCCTGCTTCTCCCTCTGCCTGTGTCTCTGCCTCTCTCTCTCTCTCTGTGTGACTATCATAAATAAAGTTAAAAAAAATTTAAAAAAAAATAAATAAAAATTTAAATCCAAAGAAGAAAGAAAAAGAAACAAAAGGAAGAAAGGAAGGAACTAATGAACTAAAAGATCCTATTTTATGGAAGATAAGGGGGAAGGATTGATAAATATTGAGTATCTCTTATGTGGTAGGTACTCAGTACCTACACCAACATGGTGGGTGATTTACTTATATAATCTCAAAGACTCTTATAAAACTTTGTTAGGATGCTGTCATCATCCCAATTTCAGATATAAATAATCAATATAAAAATTATCTTGCCCACGCTTACAGAATTAGTGGGGAACTGGGTTTCGGTACAGTTGTATCTTCCTGTGATGTCCATGATCTTATTACTTTTGAGTCAGTGGACTTGGTTCAAATTCTAGCTCTTTTACTTATTAATTATATGATTCTAATTTACTTAATCTCAGTATTACTTTCCTCATATATACATAAATAAATAAATAACAAGTAATAGATAAATAATAGTCTCTGTGTCAGAAAGTTCATTATCGGGGATCCCTGGGTGGCGCAGCAGTTTGGCGCCTGCCTTTGGCCCAGGGCGTGATCCTGGAGACCCAGGATCGAGTCCCACGTCGGGCTCCCGGTGCATGGAGCCTGCTTCTCCCTCTGCCTGTGTCTCTGCCTCTCACTCTCTCTCTCTGTGACTATCATAAAAAAAAAAAAAAGAAAGTTCATTATCCTCAAAATAAATGAGATAATACATCAGATATCAGAATGTGTGATTGGAGTTGAGGCCTAAGCATCAGCTGTTTTTAAAAGCTATCAAGTGATTCTAATACACAAAACACTGAAATAATGTGAACAAGTATTTAACTCAGAATTTGGTACATAGAGAGTACTCAGGAGTTATTAGCTATTATTATAATTGTTGTTACCATTACCTTATGGATGCTGTTTCTTGTGATGCATTTGAGGTAAATAATAGATACTTAAGTGTAAAATACAGAGAGCCATGATTTCCTGCACCGCCTACTTCCAGATACCTTTGATTCTCACAGCCACATGTTGCCTTGCTAAGTAAGCTGGAAAACGTTAAAAGAATGTTAGGTGGAGAATGGCAAGAGATGGTATTGTTTTTGTATGGAGTGTCATAAAGAAAGTTTAGTCTTTATGGTCTTTTATTAGCTTCAATTCCTTCATGCCTAAAATTGAGCTAACATAGACAACTTTTGCTTATGGATGAAGTAGCTAAATAATATATTATATTTCAAAGACCTGGGAAATTTTCCTAGGTAGAGGATACTAATGATCAATAGACACTTCACTTTCTCATTTCTTTATTCGAGCTTCACATATGAACATTATTTCTGTATTAGATTTTCCCTTACATTTAGCATTAATCTAGCTCCCGAAAATGCAATATGGCTTCCAGATTCACTGGAAATGGATCTGACACCTGGAAAATCTCAGAAGAGAAAACGGGAATTAAGCCCCATGAGGTTCAAAGGCCATTTGTCCCCTTGATATTGATTTTTCTTAAATCAGACAGTAGCCAAGACCATGGGAAAAGTAATTGAACTGACAACAGGCAGGTCCAGGTTATTAATATTTGAACAGTCTTGGACATTCTTGATGACTTAATTTAATGACAGAAAAGAGGTCTGCAACTTAAATGCCTGGTGATGGGGTCAGTAGCTGGGTCTCTGAGGAGAAAGGAAAACATGTTATTCCAAAGAGCTTATTTCATAGAACAAAGCATTTTATAGTAGTCCCAAATATGAGTCCAGAGAAAATAGTTTTGGTTTTCTTTTTTAAGAAAACAAAATTTTAAAGGCTTAAAAAATTACCATTGTATTTATTTTTGCCCTTACTTTACAAAACAGGCTTGGTTAGAGTTATGGAATTTTGGAACCTTAGTGAGTAACTCAAGGATAGAGATCATGGACATTTTACTTATCTTTTTTTATTCTCTGGATTTAAAAATCAACTTTCCATATATTGATTGCATGACTTTGGACAAGTTAATTAAACTCTCTGAGCTCAGTTTCCATACCTGTAAAATAGAGATGTTAATATTTTGTATAGTTAAAGGGAATATTTAAAATTAATAAAAATATATAAAATTCCTAGCACTTGATATTTTATAATATATCAGATGATAAATATTTGCTCAACGAAATAATATGTGAATTTTGATGCTTCCCTTTCTTTCATTGCCTATGGAGAGAAAAACTAACCTATGGCAACCTTTTGAAAGTTTTCACTTTTTCTCTATTTTTGCTACCCTTGTTCTAGATCATATCCTCTCTCTTTTGGACTATTTCAATGGTCATTACATGTATTTTAACCCCAATTCTCTTCTCTTTCCCCATCTCTCTTCTCCACTTAAAATAAAATTGCTTACTAAAACAAAGGGTGATCTCTTTTTAATTATACCATCCTTCTGGAAATATTTTAGTTATGTAGACCACTCCACTCCCCCATTTTAAAGATGAGGCCCAGAAAGGGGAGGGACTTATCCAAGTACCTATGCTTCTATAAATTTATGCTGAGATTAGGGTTGAGCTCAGTATCTCTCGCCCTCAGCAGAGGATAACAAAAGAAGGTGCAGAAGAGAGCATATATCCTCCAGGTTATATGGGATGCTGAATAGTTGCAGAATTTTTTTAACTTCAACAAGCATTCAGTTATTATCTTTTTTGAACTTTAAATGCAATACTGTTACTCTGATAATACTGTTATTCATTTACATGTAAATTGTAGGTCAACCTGGAGAAAGGGCACAGTTAATAAAAATAGCTAAAACTTATGTAGCATTAACTATGTACAAAACATGGTTCCAAACACTGTACATATATTAACTTAATTATCATCAGTAATCCTAAGTACTGTTATTATCCTCATTTTTTAAATGAGGAAACTAAGACATAGGAAAGTTTAGTAGCTTGGCAAGGTCACATAGCTTGAGAGTGTAGGGTGGGATTAAAACTCAGACTTCCAGGTTCCAGAGTCTGTGCTCTTGACTACTATACTAAACTGCCACAAATATATTGAATTTCTTCAGGCACCATTTATTATCACTTTACTTTTGGCAACTAGTCCATATGGCTTCCTCTAACCCTGCTTATCATTTCCATTCCTAATTAGCAGGAAGTGACAACTTCCATAGCATAATCTTCTGATAAACTTTTCCCTTTTTTTCAGAGAGTCATTTTCAACATTGTTAACTTCAGTAAAACCAAGAGTCTTTATAGAGATGGGATGGCCCCTATGGTGAAATCTACCAGCAGACCCAAATGGTAAGTGACCGGAAAGGGACCTACTTCTCGTTGGAGAATTTGACCCAGGTCTCAGAGTTTATGTGCTGGGTGGCTAGGGTTGAGCCATTCTGGCACTGAGAGGAGTAAGATGAGTTTTTTGATGGCCATCATCTGGGATCTAGGTTTAGGGCTCTGCGAGAATTTTGAAATAGGGAACATGTTTCCACATATGGAATAACCAGCATTCCATTAAGAGGTCAGGTGCAGTCTGTTACTTGGTAAACTTCCTGTCCTGTTGGCCTTTTATCATGGTATCTTATGTGATTTGTGGATGTTAAAGTTATATTTGCCCATTGCTGTATCGAGGGTGAGGAGAGTTTGATAGGCTTGCTTAAAATAGCATTATGGTGGTGATGATGATAACTGCTCTCACTTAACTGAGAGCCTATTTTTATATATTTTACATTTGCTGTCATTATTATCACAACAGTTTTACAAGAGAGAACTTAAATATTCCTATATTACAGATGAAAAAATTGAGGCTAGGAGAGGGTAAGTACTTTCTCAATACCATAGATACTTAGAGGAGGAGCCGGTGTTATTTATATTACCCCATACTACCATCCAAACCACTTAATTTTTCATCCAACCATTTATTTATTCTTTCAACAAACATTAATTGCACCAAAATGAGAGTTTTTAAAGACAGAAACCAGTGTTATTCATCTATCACACAGTAGGTATTAATTGAATGCTTGCTGAACTGAACTGAATTCGTTTTGAGAATTCACATGTAACGTGCCTGGCACTTGCTAAGTGCTCAATAAATGTCATCTATTATTAATAGCATTATGTAAAACACTATACAAATGTGAGGAGTTGTTAATATTATTCTAGCTTTGATCCCTGTTCAAATTTTAATGACTAGTGAAAAGATCATCTCCAAATGTCTATATTTATAGAAAACTAGCAATTCATAAATATTGAATTGTGCTTTTATCTACAAACGATACTTGGCAATTTTCTATAAATGCTGGGCTGAGAAGCTCAGGTTTGTAAAAGTGTAGGCATTCAATGATAATAAAAACTGTTTATTACACAATAAAAATATCTTCCTGGGCCTATTTTTTTATGTTTTATTTTTTTTGCTTTGCTGCATCAAGTCAACTATACTGCTATTCCTGGATCTCCTTTTGACAATGGGATCTGGGTAAGAGGTAGGCCTTTGTTTTGAGTTTCTGAATTCAGCCCAGTGGATAAAAATATAGTACATCTCTCTGTTAATAGGTGTATGTGTAGATGTGTACTTCAAACCTTGCCAACAAAAGGACATCACTGTTGATCTGATAATGAGGGCCCTCAAAATAACATTGCACTTCTTTTATGAGGCTCTACGTTGGGATCTTACACAGCAACCATAATCACCATCCCTTTTTCCCAGTTGTTTAATGCTGGAGTCTTCTTTTTTATGCTTTTAAAATCTTAAGCCTTAATCATTTCATTTTGTTTTGTTTTGTTTCTTATGGATTATCATTTGGGGCCTGTCAGGGCTCTTGACAAGATTTTGAAATATTAATGAGTCCCTACATTTATATTATAATACCTGAGGATGAAGTTAGTGCTTTTATCCAATGTTGGCAGGCTCTCAGCATGGCCATTATCCAGTCATTGGGCTTCTCTAATGGTCTGAAAGAGCTTAAATGCTCAGAATTCAGTTTATTGTAGTTCATCAGGCTGATAAGACATGAGGTGCCAGAGCAAATCAGGTTGTTGGTATGTCTCATCTCTCATCCTTTTGACTTTGCTGACCCCGAATTTTGGATGCAGAGCTACTCACATTCCTTCATAGTCCCCTTTCTTAAAGGCAGACTAAGATATTGTTTACTTATAAGATTTTATTGATCACCTTAATGTGCCACATACTATTCTAGATATTGGAGATATAGTAGGTATATGACAGAAAAGATCTGTTCTCAAAGACAATTTTCTTTTTGGAATTTTATTAACTGATCTGTACATGCCATAATTGTTATGCTTCTTGCTACTGGTTTGTCCTGAAGATTCTTTCTGCCCTTTTGGTGTTTTCTGCTTAGGATTTTCTTCCATTTCTTGTATCAATTACCTGTATCAGAACCTGTCTTCCAATAGTCATTATTCTAAATGCTCTTAGGGCAACAAAAATAATATATGACTGTTTGGCTCTCAGATTATTAGATTTTATTGGCCCAGAAGGGTCCATCATAATTTAGGATTCTAGGATTCTAGACAACAGTCTTACTCAAGACTGACAAACACATTATAGATCCCAGTATTAGACTATCTCCTTTAGTGTTTTCCTAATTTTGGTTTCCCCAATATCAAGGCAAACAAACAAAAGAAGTTTCTGATCCATTTCTTATCTAGGGGATTCACTTCCTTTAATATCCCAAACAGGCCTTGGAAGAAGTCTTACTTCATGACAAATATTAAAAATTCTAAATTTCCTATGAAATATGTACCAGATTAGAAAAAGACACTTTCACCCCTTCAAGGTGAAATAAAACATTCTTTTTTTACTTCTGTTATAGGGGACCGTAACTGATGCTAAGTAAAGATGCCTTCAGGCCTTACCATAGGTTTGGTAATCAAACTAGGTGTAGAAGGCAGATGAGCAAAAGAAGCAATTAAAAAGCCATTGTGCATGGGTATCCCTGGGTGGCTGGGGGTTCAGCGCCTGCCTTAGGCCCAGGGTGTGATCCTGGAGATCCAGGATCTAGTCCCATGTTGGGCTCCCTGCATGGAGCCTGCTTCTCTCACTGCCTGTGTCTCTGCTTCTGTGTGTGTGTGTGTGTGTGTGTGTGTGTGTCTCATGAATAAATAAAATCTTTAAAAAAAAAAAGCCATTGTGCTTTTGACTACTCAAGATTATTCTGCCTTGGGGAGAAAAACTCAGAATACCTAGCAGCAAAATGGAGAAGTTGGAATATTAAGAAGCTTTCTGCCTGTTTTAGTTCACTCTAATTTGTTTTCATGTTAGACTTCTTAAGAAGTATTGGTTGTTAAGGCCCAAGTTTTTGCAACCACAATTCATTAATATTTTTAAATATTGTCCAAGGCTAAATAAAATTGCTTTGTGATAGGCAGTGCAGGGAACTGGCATTATAAGGCAGCCAAAATCTATATTCTTATTTAAACTAAGCCTAGAATATTTATGCAAGCAGTAAGTGGTGGCATTAAACAGACCTCAGGACTCCCTCCCATATTCTGTGCATGAGGAAGGTGGGAGATGGGGACACAGATATGCAGGAAGTTGTATGCTGCTGTTTGGTGTTTGGTAGGTCTGAAGTAACTTTTCTAATTACTTGTCCATTATAATAGATTGAGGATATTAGACTAAATCTCAGAAGTGGCTTCTATTTAATACAATTCTTTTGAGCATCTAACTTTATGCTAGGTCTTGGGGTGATAATATGAATCTGATAATATGAATAATATGATCTGGATTTTTTAAATTTTATTTTCTACATGTTGAAATGAAACACAAACAGAAATAAGTACAATATTAGGAACATTGTGCTAAAAACCACTATGGAATTAATAAAGTGTGCTCTGAGATTAGAGAAGAGAAATAAAATTATATGATCAGGGCTGTGGAGAGTAAAGGAGAATCTTGGGGGTGCACTTGGTACCTCAGCTAGATCTCAAGGAAATGAGACATGAACAAAATTAAGGAAATGGATTCTAGATGGAAGATATAGCATGATGAGCTATGATATTTCCTTTATAAGCCCCAGTTTCCTTACTGTAAAATTCAAAATAGCTTTTTTACGGTTTTTAAGAAACACATGTGAAATGGATGACTTTAAAAAGACTCAAATAGCTTATTAATTCAGTAAATTCCCTAACCATTTCTTTCATTTTTCCCTGACTCACTCAAGACTGACTGGGTAAACATTATGCCTTCTCTTTCTCCCTCCTTTCCTGCCTTCCCTTCATCCTTACTTCCTTCTTCCCTCCCTCCTTCTCCCTGTCAATAAATCCTTACAAGTAGTTGTAGTAGACCAGGAAATATATGCAAGGTATCAGAACAACATAGTAGAGAGAGATGTGATTACTGTTCTTATAGAGTTCATGGTCTTCTGGGCTAGATATTAAAAGTGAAACTATAGTAAAGTGTGATAACTGTGACAACAGGGAGAATTCAGCATTGTGGAAACTATTCAGCATTTAGGATTTAACCTGCTCCAAGGATAAGAGACCTTCCCTAGGTGTGTTACTTATGCTGAGAACTTAAAGATGAATATGTGAGATCATAGTAAGTAGGGATATGTGTGAAGTAATAAAATGTGTTTGAAGACTTAGAGATGAGAAAGAACATTACATTTTTTGATGAGCAAAGGCCAATATGATTGGAACGTGAAATTCTAAAGAGAAAGTGACTAGAAAGGTAGGTAGAAGTGAGATTGAGGAGAGCTTTGTAAGCCAAGGTAAAGAGCTGGATTTGATTCTAAAGGCACTAAGGCACTGTGAAGAAATCAAGCAGGACATGATCAGAATGGCAGTTTAGAAAGATCAGTCTTAATGCTTAATAGAAAATATCTTAGAAGGAGGGCAGTTGTTTAGAGGTTTTTTGCAATACCTTAGGCTACAGCTGATGATGAGTTAGATTGGTAACAGTAATGATGAAAACAAGTGGATAGATTCGAGGGTTAACAGATTGAATCTATTTAACCTTTAATTGAGTAGATGTGGAGGGTAAAAGAGAGGTGGGAGTTCTAGATGACCCCAAGGTTGTCTGGCATACACAACAGAAGGGATGGTGGTGCCATTTACTAAAGACAAGGGTTATAATATAAGAGGAAAGAGTTTTGGCAGAGTTGGTTGGAAAGAGGAGATGATGAACTTGGCCTTGGAAACATACAGCTAGATGTGCCTGAGAGATATCCAAGTGGAGATGTCAAGTAGGCAGTGAGGTGTGACTGAAGAGAGGTATTTGGAGGTACGGATTCAAGAGTTATCACCAGAATAGTGAGGGCAGATGTAGTCTCTCAGGGAGGTTG